GCTCTTCAAGAAAGTCTTGCATATCAAGGCAAGGTAAAGTTAAACTACATCAAGGTCACATCTTTGCTTGAAGAAACAAATAGCTGTTTCCCGTCTGCTTTTGGTAAAAAGGCTTTCTGTTGTCTTTGCAGCAAGGAGAGCTGAAATGGACTGCGGCTAAAATTGGCTAACATAATGTAATGACTAAGCTCATCCTACAATGTCAGTCAATCACAGAACACCACTGTTTTCACTGAAGGCCAGCTCAACACAGAGCAGCTGTATAAATATGTCAGACAGGATCCAGCCTGCTCCCAGTAAAAACAGGAACTCTGTTTCTCATAAATATATGGATTATTGGGTAAATAAATCAAGAAATGGGTCTAAACTAAATTAATCCCTGGAATGTGCCAGAAAAAAGTGAGGATTGGGATGTTTGTGGAAGAAAGAAGACAAGTTGGTGGAGTATTCCTCCAATAAGGCCTGAGGGGCCAAGTGCTTTAAAGTTGGTGCTCTCTCTTCCCAAGAAACCTCAAGCTCACCAGCATCAATTATTCCATGACATTCTAATGTGGCTCATCCTATCATAGAAGCAACTAGTATTAGGGAAGTTTTAAGATCAGCAGGTATGCTGCTGATTTTGGAATAAATTCAAAACACACATACTACTTCAGTCATTTGACTTCACAATTCATTTAATTGCTACCTGGAGGTGTCTGTTGCACTCACAATAAGTCATCAACAGAGCAGGAACTTGTCACAATCATCTTTAATGAAACTGGCACTCATCTTTGTCTCCTCACTCTGTTGGTAAGTACTTCCATTGATTGGCCTTTGATGAGCCTGCAGGGCAGTAGGTTGGTGTCGAAAGTGTGATTTGTATCCACTTGGTGTGATAATGATTTGTTTATCTTCAGTGGGCAGGGCAAATCCATATATCACATGGACTAAACTGACACATACAGTCCACAGACAACTAGAAGCTGGTATAGCGTGTGAATGATCAGCTGCTGCCGGCTGCGCATTGTAGGGGTATTGTCTCATCCTTATGATTCAACCACATTTGTTAAACCCTGTACGTTTCTAGCATTTTAAAGACAAAATGCTTCTTGAAGAGGTGGCACAGATATACAAAATACTGAAAACATCAGTCTTTGCTTAGACTGCTGCCCCCGCGACCCGGTCCCGGATACGGAGGAAAATGGATGGATGGATGGGTGAAAACATCAGAAATAACTTTTTGGTGCTAGAATAATTTCTTGGACATAAAAATAATAAAAAACATCTAGTGTGCGCCAAAGCCTTTGTAGAACTGAAGAAAGGTCACACACTAAAAGCGGCGCCCAAACTATGACACACACAAAAAAACAACAAACTACATAGTTATTCACTGTGGCGATATGGAGAGTTGGGTACAAAGGCCTGCATTTCATTTAAACACAAGCCAAGGTACGTAGTCTACATAAAAAGCCTTCATTTGACAAACATGAACATTACCATTTTGTTGTGTTTTCTGCTGCTTTTGTTTAAACAAAGATGAAGGGTTTTTAGAACTGTATCTAAAATGAAAGATGCTAAATCCTTTTGTTCTTGTACCTTTTCCAAGTTTCCCAAAAAATTTCAAACACAGCTTTTCTAAGGCTTATTCACTGTCAAACAAAAACCAAAATAATTTTTTTCAGGTCGCACAAAACAGACAGTTTACTCCTCGCATAAGAATGGTTGCATACTCTACTCACCACAGTGCTCAAGCGATGCTCCTTCATCAGCCTGAGGCAGTTCTGGTAGCAGGAGGTGAGGTCACTGATCTCGGTAGGGCCTGCATGACCTCTGGCCACGGGGCCCACGGTGTGGATCACATCTGTCGAAAGGGGACATCACAAAGCTCATTTCAACACAACCTAAGCAAGGTTACATGGCTAGCAGTACTTGCAGTAGTGCTGCATAGTGTAAGGATAAGTACAACACTGTAAAACCTTATAGCTGTCTGCTATGCAGTTACAGTTTTTAATAATCTGCAAGTTCATCATCAAATACAAAGTAGATAAAGTTTGTTTTCACAATAAGACAATGGGGACAGAATCAACAACCCACAGCCTGAAATAAATGCATTTATTCAGTAAATGAAACCACAAAGACCTTCTATGCAGTCTACTCAAACATTCAGATCACTCCTTGCACTCTCCTCTTTGTATAGTAATGTATTTTACCTGTCAGTCACTGGGCTCCTTGTCTGGCCTGGCCAGACTGAGGAATGCAGCCTCTTAATTGAACCACAGGAATCAATTAAGGAGTGATTCAATTGGAGTGATGACAGGAAAATAAGACAATCTAAGCAGTGACTTGACAGAAATATAATCTTCTGCATTCTGCCTGACTACCCTTGGCCTTTTCAATCTTGGACAGGGCAGGTCAACATCAATAAGCAGGTACGTAACTGCATCACTCTGAGAGTTTCACCACAGGCTTTGCATTTATGCAGACCAACTTACAAGGATTTCAGTGGTACAGTAAAAAATCATTTTACTAAACATGACCTTTCTGATTTCTGATTCCACAGACAGATCATTAGGGTTTGGATGCATTGTAAACTATAATTCACAAAGCCATGATTGATTGTTTTTCTGTTTATTCAAAAAGAGGCTGCTTCAGAATCCAAAATAAAAGTCTTTTACTTCATTTAGCGGCATTGGCTGGTAAATCTCAGTTCATGGATCATTAAACATAGATCAACGGTGACTCATACATTAGCAATTTAACACATCAGGTCCCCAATTCTGGGCACTGAAATATGAAACTGTGTTGAAGTTTTAATACTGAGAATTCAGATGTGGTTCAGGTGAGGAGATGCAAGGAAAACCTAGCAGCCTGCATTTTAAAACCTCATGTCACCTCATGTGTTTTCTTACATCTAACCTCACCATTTACTTTTAATGTAAACCACTTAGCCCCACTTTCCCACTGAATAAATGTTAGCTATATTGCTACTCTTCTTGAGCATAAATCATTTAAATATTAAACTCAGTTCTCAGTTGTATGTCTGGTTGCTTAATAGGTCAGGATGATAAAATGCATGGGGAACCACTATAATCAAGTGGCTTTCACTGGTGTTCCTTAAGGAGTCAGATTGTGTGTTGAGGAGAGGAAAGAAACAAGGGGTTAGGGTGATCCTCAGCTAAGCCGAGGTTGGAATATAATGAGAATGGAGCTGTCTGAAGTATTGTCATCTTCCAGAATAGCACGGCAAAAATTGCATAGCACAATGTGGTTATAAAGGGACATATGGTACAGTAAGTTGTGTTTTTGTGCATAATTCATGAAGTTCTTCACTACAAGAACGGCAACATGCCAATTTTACTGTGGGAAAACGCCAGAAAAGCAGACTACTGGTGAAGTCATGAAAAATTAAACAGTTCTTATCTCACTACTACCAATGTCTCCACTCGTATCCACAATGCCACCACATCAAATATTTATACAGCTGTGTTACTGTAAGCTGAAAGACAATTTGTAACTACTGTAAGGAAGGATATCACAAGACGACAGCTAGTTGCAGTAGACTTCCAAAACACTCTGAGAACTGCTTCAGTATCTCTGTAAATGTAAAGACAAACAATCTCTATACCCTTGGACTTGGAGGAACTGGGAGTATTTATTTTGTTCAAAGAAAAAAAAACAACAGCCATTTTCCAAATCCAATAAAATTCAATGTTTATTTGCAATGAGGTTTTACACAACATTAAGCCGCTGTAAAATGATAGGGACTTTATTGAATCATAATTTTCTAAAAACCTGTGACCATGTACTGGAAAAACCATAGTCCAAGTCTTTAGCAGAGACACTAAATAATAACTAATAGTAAGAAATATAACCTTATCAATATAGCAAGCTTTAAACCTGAATATATTCTTGCTTTAAGGTTAGGGCTCTCTCAAAATATATAAAATGGCAATTTTCACTGCGTTTGAAGACTTAGGAAATGGTTATTTATAACCTCAGTGTTTTTCAGTACATAAAATTATACAAAGACAATCTTAGCAATAGGAGCTTGAAAAGCTCTGGCAGATAATCCGTCAAACATGGGTCTTTATCATTGCTTTTCTTTTTCACCTGATAAAACCCTCAGGTTTCATTATGTTTCAGTGTATCAATGTTTCATTGTTACTAAGAAGCATATACTGACATACTATGTACACCATTATCTCTATGCAACCCTCATATAAGAGGTACATACATCCTTATCTTAGAGGAGTTGATAAGATTACTAGTGGTCATTTGCACTTCTGGGGGCTGGGCTTCATTGTGCAGATGATAACATCAATAAAAAGTCACCATGAAATACGTTAAAAGGAAACTCTTATTACCTCCTCCAAGGAGGTGATGTTTTTGGTTCTGTGTGTGTGCCTTTATATTACTTACATTATGGGGACCGAAACCTGTTAATACACTCACATTGTGGAGACCAGAGGCTGGTCCCCATATTGGAATCACTGAAATTTTAGGGTGGCATGGTTTAAGGTTAGGGTCAGGGTTAGGTGTTAGGCAAGTAGTGGTTATGGCTAAGGTTATGATAAGTCTACAGGAAATGAATGTAAATCAAGGTAAAGTCCCCACAAAAAAATGAAAACACAGTGTGTGTGTGTGTGTGTGTGTGTGTGTGTTGGTTAGCTGGATTATTGGTAAAGACATTTAGTGGGGACCAACCCCAGAAATTAATAGATTTGGCTGCAAAAGGTCAAGGTAAAAAAAAAACAAAAAACATCCTTATCTTTAACACGGGGCAACATTAAAAAAAAAATCATATCTCCATTAAAGGTTATTGAAGTCATTTTTTGTTTGAAATTTTACACACATATGTAAGATGTCAACCACAAGAACAAATTTCATCTAGATGTGATCCAGATGTCAGATCTGATGCCATTTAAAGTTAGCATTAAAACCCCCTTTTAATGCATGTTTTCTGTAATAACTTAGCCTATAATGAAGACAAAACCCTGAAATATTCAGGTAAGATGCACAGTATAACTGCCTATCATTTGGATTTTAGGACACATTTTGTGTTGTTCTCAATCTCTTCTTCACAAGGGACCCCATTTGTGTGAGCAAATGTTGTGCCGTGGGGGAGGTACATGCTTTCTTTAAGAGCTCCTGTTTAGTACGATATATTAATTAATCAGTATCGTAAAATTATAAATCTTCACACCAAAAGTAATATTCTGTATTCCCGACTCATTAACATTAAGCATTCCATTCCTAAAAACTATGTCACAGACTAGGAAATATAGTATGTCATTTCAAAATTTACTACAGAGCTTAGGTTAGTAAACAGAGCTGAGCATAGTTTGCTCTCAGCATGCAAAAGTCCTTAAGAAATTGAACAAAACTCTTCTTTATTGCACACACACCAGAAAATTCCCAGTGCACACACTTTCTTCAAGACCTTGCCTTGCCACCTCCATTAGAAGTAAGTGAGATTCCATTCCCAGCAATGTTTTTAGCAGTTTTCTACCAATATCTCCAATGGATTTGTTCATTGTGGTCTCTTGCTTGGGGCTACAAGGTCAGTAACACAATTGAACCAGCAAAACCGATGACTGCCATTCAAACCATGCTTTCTTCTCCGTGAGTCTATAGACTCTGCAACGTAAAACAAAGAGCAAAACAAAAAGAGTTGAAGGATCATTGCAGGTTGAACTTAGTTTACTAAGGACTAAATTAAATACTATACCAAACTGATACTGACTTTATAGAACGATGATACTCATCACTTTTATTGTATACACCCTCAAGAGAAACATGAACAGTTTATTTTCCTCGGCATACACTATATCTGAATCTTCATTCTCTTGCTGCTATGAACACTCAGCATGGGTTCGCAATAAACTACCTTTAACTCCAACACCATTCCGGAGGAGTCTTTTAATTGCTGACAAACTGCTCCACCTTTTTCATCCTAAATGGAGGTAATGTGCCACAGTGCATGCATTATGCTGCCTGTTCTAGACGTCTAATGACCCATATAAGCACACATTTCTCCCATCAATTCTTAAAAATCAATAAAAAAGCACTGAAATGGGGAACATGCTGCACAGTCAACAGAAAATTACTGTTTTTATCTTTGTTGTTCAGGACTATCATGCCAACATATTATTGGTCACATTGACTCAAACCCTGTTCAAGCAAAAACCAGCTTTATGCAAATGCGCAGTGTGGTCCAGCACTCCAGGTGTTTCTACTGTTGACTAAGCTCAACCAGCCATGAACAAAATCACAGAAAACTTGCACAACAGTGGATACAAAAACAAAGCTAATTTTGAACGCTCACATCCTTTGTCTGAATACTCTTTGCAGCAGAGTGTATGACAAATCTTTTTCCTTTGGTTTGCTGGAGAGAGCGAAATTTTTCTGTAATAGCAAGGGACCCTGAAGAATAATGGGCAAATAGTATAGAGTGACTAAGATGCTTCCACTCGGTATCCCTCTATGTGCACCCTTCACATCAGATGAATAAACATCTTCATTTAAAGTAGCATGAATTTGAATTTACAATCTGATAGTATTTTTCTCAACCTCCTAATACAGTAAACTGCTGTTGGAACCCAGCACTCACGAATGCCGGTGCCAGTGAACAGTAATATTTAATATCACTGTACAAGCCCTATACTTTACACTGTAACAAAACAATGTGGTTATGTCAGCCAACATACATGGAATAGATACATCATGTGAATACAGATTGTTACATTGTTGATATCTGTTAAAAAATTGTTTGTTGATCCACTTCACAGGCCTGAACTACTAGAATGAAGGTAGGGATCCTCACAGCCAATCTGTGCCAGACTGCCATTGGTTCAGTCAAAG